CCCCACCCCCGCCCCTCCTCTGCAGAGGGATGCTCAGTCCCTCTTGTGTTCACAGTTGGGCAAGGCGGGCATCATGGCCTCGGATTGTGAGCCAGCTCTGAACCAGGCAGAGAGCCGAAACCCCACCCTGGATCGCTACCTGGGAGCCCTCCGTGAGGCCAAGAATGACAGCGAGCAGTTTGCAGCCCTGCTGCTAGTAAGGAGCTAACTGAAAATTGGGAGGTGGGAAGGGATGGGTGGTTGGGCCCCCTAGGAATGGGGTCAGTAAGTCCCCAAGGATATACAGGTGGTGCTGGCAACCCTGGAGGCACCAAAGAAGGTCCAAGACACCTATCTTTGGACTCTTTTGCTCCCCTGAGTACAGGGGTAGCGGGGAGAATGGGGAAGAATAAGGCTTGTAGTCCTAGGAGCCTTGGAGGAGGCTGTCTGGGTCTGTTCTCTGGGGTGTCCCAGAGCAGATGGGAGCTGACTCATAGGGTAACAGCAGCAGGTGGTAACTAGTGCAGAGTACTTGAGGGCTGGGGATGATTGTTCTGAGGGTGGAGAGAGTAGCAGGACTGGCAGTGACTAGGAAGGGGTCCCAGGGGATAGCCAGGATGGCAGTAGGTAGGTTAAGGGTAAGGGAGCTGGTTCCGGACTTAGCCCTGTTGGAAGAACCCAAGCTGGGGACAGCAGAGCAGGAGCTGCAGTGCTGGGAAGGGGGGGGGTTAGTGTGTGGGGGGTGAAGGGAGGAGGGAGTACAGCCGCTGCTTGTTTGCCATGGCAACAGGGAGAAGGCTCTGGAGTCAAGGGCTCACACTGCAGCAGAGGAGGTGTTTAGGTGAAATGTAAGGGGAAATGTTTTGACAGGCAGAGCGGCGAGACATAGGAGCCATTTCCCCTGAGACAGTGGCGGGAATGGATCAGAGACTTCTCTGGAGGGAACAATTAGGAAGGGACTCTAAATCCATGGAGGATTTTAAACACTGAGTTCTGAGCCCCTCCAATTCAGACCGTGGGCATCTAGACTAGACATCAGGAAGAACTTCTCCACTGACCAGGTGATGAAATGGCAGAACGGATGAGTAGTTGAGGAGGACTGAACCCCACTTCCACGGAGATAATCATAGTTAAGGGGTCCCAGAGGTCACACCTGTCTGTCTCCAGGGAGAAGGAAGGAACTGGATAAAATGACTCTGGGAGGCTTCCTGATCCCAGAGTGAGTCCCGTTATATAACCTAATCCTGCTAATGGTCAATGCCCTGGGGTACAGGGAACAGTCTGCTACGTCTTCCTTTCATCTTGTTGATAGCACATACCGCCCCCCACTCCAGGTGACCAAGGCAGTCAAAGCAGGTGACATCGATGCTAAAACGCGACGAAGGATCTTCGACGCTGTAGGCTTCACCTTCCCCAATCGTCTCCTGACCACCAAGGAGGCACCGGATGGCTGCCCCGACCATGTTCTCCGAGCCCTGGGCGTGGCCCTACTGGCCTGCTTCTGCAGTGACCCTGAACTGGCCGCCCATCCCCAGGTCCTGAACAAGATCCCCATCCTTAGCACTTTCCTCACAACCCGGGGGGACCCTGATGATGCTGCCCGCCGTTCCATGATCGATGACACCTACCAATGCCTGACGGCTGTGGCAGGCACACCCCGTGGGCCACGGCACCTCATTGCTGGTGGCACTGTGTCTGCCCTGTGTCAGGCATACCTGGGGCACGGCTATGGCTTTGACCAGGCCCTGGCACTCCTGGTGGGGCTGCTGGCTGCTGCTGAGACACAGTGCTGGAAAGAGGCAGAGCCTGACCTGCTGGCCGTGTTGCGGGGCCTCAGTGAAGATTTCCAGAAAGCCGAGGATGCCAGCAAGTTTGAGCTTTGCCAGCTGCTGCCCCTCTTTCTGCCTCCAACAACCGTGCCCTCTGAATGCCTCCGGGATCTGCAGGCTGGGCTGGCACGCATCCTGGGCAGCAAGCTGAGCTCCTGGCAGCGCAACCCCGCACTAAAGCTGGCAGCCCGCCTGGCGCATGCCTGTGGCTCCGACTGGATCCCAGCGGGCAGCTCCGGGAGCAAGTTCCTGGCCCTGCTGGTGAATCTGGCATGTGTGGAGGTACGACTGGCACTGGAGGAGACAGGCACAGAGGTAAAAGAGGATGTGGTGACTGCCTGCTATGCCCTCATGGAGTTGGGAATCCAGGAATGCACCCGCTGTGAGCAGTCATTGCTTAAGGAGCCACAGAAGGTACAGCTCGTGAGCATCATGAAGGAGGCCATCGGGGCTGTCATCCACTACCTGCAGCAGGTGAGGGTGCAGTTGCCCACAGAAGAAATCCAGTGTGTGGGGAGCCAGGAGGCTAGGAAAAGGGGGAAGTGAAACTCTTGTACCTCCATGTAATGGGGAGCTGGGAAGATGCACTTACCGAGGGCTGATCTTGTAGCACTCCCGGGAGTAGTGTGTGACCGAGCCTCCCTCTCCCTCCCTGTGCCTCCACACAAGCACCATACCACACACCATATGTGCATTCACATCACAGTACACACACGCGCACACACAACACAGTAACCTCCCACTCACAACCCTCCCCCCAGTACGCACACACAAAATCAAAGCCGTCTGTTCTGCTCAGTCTATAGCATTCTTTTACACACATGCACATACAAACTTGTAATGCTGCAGGGGAAAAAAACAGAGCTGCCTGGTATCCAGCATCTGCAGAGGTGCAGCTAACTCCTCAGGTCAGAGCTGCTATAAGGAAATGTTTACGTAGCTTTGGACCTCTCAGTTTCCTTCTAACCCTGAGAAACTTACGAGGTGGAGAGAAGAGAAATGTGAGTTGAATCCCAGGGAGTGAAGAGGCATGCCATCTGAAGTCTAGTTGGCTCAGGAGACATGCCCTGAAGGCCTTCTCTGTGCCAGGCCCCCGTTGGTAGCGTCCCCACCACATGCTAGGTGCTGGGTACACAGGGCTACCTTTGAAGGGTTTCCAGGCCAGAATTCCCTTCTCATAGTGTTATTCCAAGGCTGGCCGGCATGCTGTCCAAGCAGGGGAGGGGCTCTGGTCCCACTCCATCTCAAGGGAGTCCTATGGCAACAGGTGGGGCCAGAGAAGCAGAAGGAGCCGTTTGTGTTTGCTTCGGTGCGGATCCTGGGTGCCTGGCTGGCCGAGGAGACCTCATCCCTGCGCAAAGAGGTCTGCCAGCTGCTGCCCTTCCTCGTTCGCTATGCCAAGACCCTCTACGAAGAGGCCGAGGAAGCCAATGACCTCTCTCAGCAGGTTGCCACCCTGGCCATCTCCCCTACCACCCCAGGGCCCACCTGGCCAGGGGATGCTCTCCGGTGAGTTTGTAGTTACAGTCTCTCCAGCCAGACTGTTTTAAAGAAACA